TTCTTCATTGCCTCTGTCCATCTGTGTGCCGTCTCTATTCCGCCTGGCCCTCTCGGAGGCCCATCATGGCATCCTGAGAATCCCTCCCCCCTCCGATCCAGGAACCTCGAATTTCGCGTCCGTCTCGGCTAGGTGATTCTTGAATACGTTGCGATTCCGACTCTTCGCTTTCTGGTGGATTATCGACCGACGTGTATCTGCCTAAGACGGCCTTTTGCGAAAATCACTGCGGCAATTGGTGCTCCCTCCCCGACCGTTGTACCTCGCCGCCCCGACTGCTATTCTCTTTGATCGATTGATCTTCGTTTGCGATCCGTCGCAGCATATCGCTTTATATACAGCTCTCGCTCTTTTCCCTTTCAGGAGCTCTTATATTATCTACGATTCAAAAGTGAGTGGATTGTGATGTGCGTGCGGATTTGGTGATTGTGGCCAGTGTCGGCATTCCTTTGCATTGAGGATCAAGGGTGCGCTACTGCAGGGCTGGACTTGACTCTGGATTGTCTCAGAACGAGACATCTACGCAAGGGACTGCTGTCTTTCCTCCCCCGCAGGTCAACAATCGAAGCCCCAACCTGCTGTGGAAATCTGCAGCGAACAACCTCATTGTTCGGGATTGCGCCGCTGGCGTGGATCGTCATCCGTTTGTTCCCTCATCGTTTTCTGGTCGCAGGGCCCTTGCCTTTTGACTCCTTTCACTTGCATACAGTCACACTCGCGTCATGGCGACCATGAGCGCTAATGCCATTTCCACAGAGTTTATAGAATCCTCATCGAACCGAGTCTCTAGTTCCAACATTGCGCCCCTCTTCCCGTACAGCTCTTCTGTCAACCGCTCGTTTTTTCCCTTCTACCGGACTCACGACCGACGATCTTGGTGTCCGCATACCATATGAAACCGAGGCCAGACTGGGCATCTCTTCTTTCCTTCTACCTTCCTTTCTTCAGCTTTTCCTTAGATTTGTGTGAGCCTTCTTTCTGAGCCCAGAATCTCCTGGCAATGGGCGCACCCAACCCGGCCGATACTATGGATCGTGTCGAATGTTGCGCAGTATATATCGACGATCGTGTGCAAGAGGAACGATGGGTGGACCGGGATTCGTTTGACCCGACAGCTCCCCGCAGCGATACCATTTGTGACGAACCTGAATCGTTGCGGTCGGACGTGGCGCTTTTGTTGGAAGTGTGTAAACAAAGTATGCGCTGCCCTCTGCCTCCATTGTTTCTACGGATGCTGACTGAATCGCAGTATACCTCTGTCATGTCGGGACATCTCTCGCCGCCAAACTCGCCGAGCTCTCCGATAGTGCCAGCAGTAAATGCACGCCCATTTTCGCGTTTTTCGACATTGAACTTGGTCGCAGCGAGGACTCTGTCCGGGATCGTCGCAAAGCCAGTCGCGCTTCGTGGCCGGACACGGGACCTCCGTCTCCGACATCTATCCGTCGCGGCTTCACCTTCTCTGCTCAATCCGACTCCTCCTACGGCTTGCAGTTGCTTTCAGGGGTATCTGCAGACATTCAAGTCTCCGAGATCCCAAACCTGATCATTCCGATTGCAGTCTTGCGCCACTCACACAACGAACCAACCAGCGGTCCTACTTCACAACCGGCGGCCACTCCCCTTTTCGATCCGCAGCAGATTTCCAAATGCTTAGATGCAGGTGCCGTTGACGTTCTCTCAACACCACTGGACAGGTCAAGAGTGCAAGGCTTGATAGTCCATGCCTATCGAGTGCGCAAGTCCGCGCGCAGGGAACAATCTCGCTTCCTCGCCAGGAAAAAGTCGCGGAAACAATCGTGGGTGGGCGTTCACGATGAGCAGCCCTATGCCTACTTGAGGGAGGCAATGTCAGTGCATTCAACATAATGCGGTAACCACAGTGCTAATTTATTCTCCTAGGGTATCCAAACTCATGAAGGGTATTTGCAACCCCGAGGAAGTCATTGAGGAGTTCCAGGACAGGTGCGTTCGGTCTGCCTTTCGAGTTTCTACCCACCAGCTAACGTGTAAAAGGGACCTGGATGTGAGTCCAGAGCGGCAGAAAGTTGTGAAGAAGTTCATCGGGAACTGGAACTTCACTGCTCATGAATTCTCCGAAGACGAACTCGTGTTTGGGGCCTGCGAGATGCTTCAGCATGCTTTCACTCTACCCAACTTGGATCAGTGGCGATTAACACCATGTAAGTTGTTCGTGGTTGTGATACTTTGAGAACTTGACTTACACAGGATCCTTCTTTCGCAGGTGAACTTCGAACTTTTCTGCTCGCCTGCCGCGCATCGTACAATTCATTTGTCCTCTACCATAATTTCCGACATGCCATTGATGTGCTGCAGTCAGTGTTTTGCTTCCTGGTGCATATTGGTGCATTGCCCCCATATGGCTCTGTTGGACCCAGTCCTGATTCGCCGTCCTCGATTGCATCTCTTCTGACACCGTTTGACACTTTGACCCTACTTATTTCTGCAATCGGCCACGACGTCGGTCATCCCGGAGTCAACAATTTCTTCTTGGTCAAGCTCAATGCTCCGTTGGCGCAACTATACAATGATAATTCGGTCCTGGAGGCTTTCCACTGCGCTGCATTCTCACAGATCCTGCGGCGCCACTGGCCTGCCGCTTTCAAGGATAGACAACTTCGGAAACTGCTCATCAGTTCGATCCTGGCGACCGACATGGGCGTACATCAGAAGTTTATGGAACGGCTGGGGTCTTTGCAGGAGAAGTTCTACGCCAATGGCAAATCTGTCGATGGCTTCAAGCCGCAGGATATTGAAATCTACAAAACACTTGTCTGTGGCCTCTTGATCAAATGTGCCGACATCAGCAATGTGGCACGGCCGTGGGATATCGCCGAAAAATGGACCAAGATTCTACAGGAAGAATTTGCCAATCAGGGAGAAATGGAGCGAGAGGTGGGCATGGAAACTGCGTTGTTTGGTGGTCCACCGGAGCTGGGAAACGTCTACAAGCTTGCTACCGGTCAGATCGGGTTCATGTCTATCTTCGCTCTCCCTCTCTTCGAGGGCGTTTCGGACCTTCTGCCTGAGCTGCGATTCACAGTTGAGCACATCCGGACCAACCAGACTCGCTGGCACTTCCTGGCCGACATGGAGAAACGGAAGCAGTCGCTGCTAGACCCGCGTTTCGAGGGCGGCCTTTCCCCTCGCTCGCAGAGCCCGGCCGCAAGTTTCAAAGGTCTACGTGCACCGTTGAATGAGAGCTCTGCCAGGTCGGCACTTGACCCTGACGACCCTGCGACGCAGCGACGCGAAGCCACCGGCGACTACTTTGGGACGGTTGACTCATCTCCGAGTGATTACAATGAGAACACCATCAGTCCTGTTGTGTCGCCAGACACCCCAGGCCCATCGATGGATATCACAGGCAGTCCGGTACCATTCGTACCTTCTCGAAAATCCTCCAGTGCTGTCCCTGACCTCGCTATGCTCTCGGTATCCGGCACGTCTCATGAGGACAAGGGATCGGAGCATGCCGGAGATTTTGAAGGGCAGACTGGCCAAAATTCTCGACGCTCTTCGAGGGACGCTGTTCTCGCTGCCGTCATCTTTGCCAACACGTCCGATGACCCGAATCGCTCCCACTCCCATCCCACCAGTGGTGAATCCACTGAAAGAGAAGCAGAGCGACCGAGCAGTTCTCGGCAGGGACCGCAGGGGCACCGTCGCCATCACGCCAACACCAACTCGACCGGACGCGGCTCAGGTGCACCCAACTCGCAGCGGAACAGTTGCACGCGCACGCACAGCTTGAGCACGTATAGCAATACCATGACGCCCATTTCTCCAGCCACCAATGCCACCAGTTTCGTCACTGTCGATAGCAGGGACGAAAAGGGGCATTCACGGGAACACATCAAAGACGAGCATGACGAGTCCGACGGTGCACGGCCGGGTTCATCGAAACAGTACTCCGTCGGCGAAGGGCCGTCCGAGGGTGACACCCATTTCAGCGATACCAACACCTCTCATTCACACATGGATGACGGAAGAAAGAGTCCCATCACCACTTCTGTAGTAGGGAACGGGTCCAACAGCGCCGCACATTCTACAACAACCACACCGAGCGTCAAGAATGAGGCGCATCCCCCTTGGGATGACCCAACAGCCGGTGAGCAGCCTCCACGCAGGCTACCGAAACGGCGGAGTCGTCTTCGCTTGGCGTTCTGGAAGCGCAGACCACATCATTCGCATCACCATGAGCTGAGTGGGGAGACTTGAGCTTTCTTTTCATCTCGCTTCACCTTCTCCTCGCCTAATGTTCCTTACTTGTAATTTTGTTTCAAGGTGTTTGGCTCCAGGCGATACGTGGTTGGACCCGAAATGGAGGAATGACGAAGGACTCACGAATGGTATTTTCCGCTGACGATTGTGCTTACGATGGATTGCATGATTCTACGACTCGGCTTGGACGCTCGGTCAGCTCACCAGCCAGTCATACTTCATTTATTCGGTGGGCAGGCAATGTGCTTGCCGTCCCCGCTTTAGTCCTGCCGAGTGACTTGGAAGTCCCCCTTCCGGCTTTCAAGTCTCGTTTCCTTTCTGCATATTTTCTTCACCATCTATATTCTTTCCTTTCTCTTTTTTCCTTTGCTGTATTTTCTGTGGGCAATCATGATTGATTCCCAATGATGCAACGCAGACCGGTTGGGATCAGGAAATCAAATTAGAAACGGGGCGTGGGTTGGCGTTTGGAGGATCCAGAGTTCTCCCCATGCGTGGACTGAACTGTATCATTTCTTGTTTCTGTGACGCTCTCTTTGATTCTTATTGCCATATTTTTGATTCATATCACCATATCACGATTCAAATCGACACGGTTAGCTCAGCTGTTGTTCACTTGTCATGCTAGATTCGGCGAGTCTCGTTCAATGTATTGATATCCGTCTTCTGGCTGTCTGTCTGACAAGCTCAAGATTGACCTTGATATATAGAGTTGAATATAGGACTTCGTCTATCATATCGGTAGCAATACATCACTAAGATTGACAATCCTCACACTTTTCCGTTTCCTTTTCTTGACTCTGTTTCTGACTATCTCTATTCTCCTTCCTCAAGGCCCGATCCGTATGCCCCAAATCCCTCTGCGGATCAACAACATTCCTCACCCGACTCTTGAGCACCTTGACCTCTATCCAGCATCAGCATCAGCCCATCTCAATTCAGTAACCAATACAAGCCACACCATCATTGCCCCACCCGCAGAAAAAGCAAAGAGTAAAAAAGAGAGTACATACCAGGAAACCCCCCATCAACCCTCCGATCCCAGAGCACACTCTCCTTCACCTCCGTCTCCCCCTCCGCGCCAGACGCAGACGCAGACGCAGACACAGCCGTGATACTCACGACAAACGTCCCCCCAGTGCACGGCACAAGAGCAACCTCACCAAGACTCGTCGAAAACGTAGAGAGGAGTTCCTGGGCGAACTTTCCAATCATGTTAGCTTAGCATTAGCAAATAACAATAGCATCTGTATGTGGATTTGTATCGTATACTGATGCCCATTCCAAAACGAGGGAGCAGGAGATGGAGGCGTACATAAGCGGCTCGGAGCATCCATTTACATTGCGTGCAGTATTTGATGGTGATCCGGGGGAGATTTGTGGTTGTTTTTGCTGTTGCTGTTGCTGTTGCTGTTGCTGTTGCTGTTGCTGTTGCTGTTGTCGTTGCCGTGGTGGGCGGGGGATGTGTATCTGTGCTCGAGGTTGGTGGGTGTTGTTCGATTGGGGGGGTTGGTTCGGTCATTTTCATCAGTTTCACTAGATCACTGTCAGGGATCGTGTTGTTGATCTATATACCCTATATACCCTGTGTAGCTGGACTACGTGGTTATTGGATTATTGACTGGAGAGCTGGTGAGATGAAGGTGGTGAGGTGGTTGATGATGTCAGCGAGTGCGCGGCTTTCTGAAGTCGGGGTTGGTTTGTATTGGATGGTTAAGATGGAATACAGTAGTGAGATGCGGCTAAGGTAAGACATTGATTGCTGTATTAGAGCTGGAAACCAGCGATTTCTACTTTACAAGATGCTGGGACTTTGCTCTCAGCCTCGACAGCCGAGGAATGTGCTTTTCGAACCCATGAAACACCATCCGTACCAATCACTCACTCACTGCAGACAAAGGAAATATGACGGAATCACAATCGGGAGAAAACAAAGACCAACGTAGATAGAAGAGGAAGGTTTTAGAAGAGAGAAATAGAGAATATAGAAATAGAAGAAGATAATGTCACGTCGGCGCATCCTCAAGTGCACCACGGATAGCTGGACGCTGAGATCAATGATCATCCCTGGGACGATTCGATACGATGCGACGCATGCTTCGTTAAGTAGTAGGCCTCCCGGAATCTCTGCAAGACCAGCGCGCGTTCCTCCAGTCGACACCGTCATAGCCGCACGATTATTGCTCACAGACACAGCCGTCACGAGTACCCGGTTTCATTGTTCGATGGATGAGGTAAGTTCAGTTATCGTCGTGATGATAGAAGCGGGAAGCCATGTCGAATCCCGAGAGTCCAAAGAAGATGTCAAAAGTATTAGGCGAAAAGAAGAAAAATGGGGCGGGAAATCATGTCGATAGGGAATAGAAAATCGCGAACAACAGCTTCAAGAACAAGTCGAGCCGTCTTCGATTTCGGAAAAAAGCGTTCAGTGTCATGACACCATTACATGACCGTGCAGCAGCCTCCCTGCTGTTGAGGAGCATACGGATCCTCGCGCTTGTCAACCTGGGTTTGTGTCAGCACTCCGCCGGCTGATCACTTTTCTTCATAATCGACATCAATCGCATACCTGGCCCCATACAGACGGTACCATAAAATCACGAGTATTGTTGCAGTAGTTGATCAACCTGGTCAGAGAATGGTTTGTGAGTATTCGGGTCAAGTTCCGGACGGCGGTCGGCAACTCCATGGATCACCACCCTCCCGTCGCTCATCATAGATGAATCGACAGGGACGATGACAGTTGCAAAGGCAATTGGAATCGGACACTTACGACATGGCAGCCTCGGACACCTTCACTCGAGGGCGATCCAGATCCTCCTTTAAGCGAGCATTGAGCTCTGTCAAGCGACGATATTTGAGATCGGCCACACTCTGCTTCTTGTTCTTGACGTCTCCCCCCGACCGCAGCTCGTAGGCAGGCATTTTCGATTCCGATTTCTGTGATCACACAAGAGTCGAGGAAGTGACGAGGATAATTGTAGACAATTCCCTACACGCGACAACGGGGTAGGGAGACCGTGGGGAGTTGCTGAGCCCTGGTGGGTAGGGGAATCTGGGTTGAGGAGAAGCTTTGGCGCGCTGAACCGGAGAGTAAGGGGAATCCGGAAAAAGCGGGCGGAAGTGAACCACAAAAAGGGAGGGGATTAACTGAACAGTCAACAGTCGACACAGAAAGAGTGAGAGAGCGAGAGGATCAGCGGTAGGAAACGAATGGATTTAGTGGGAAAATTAAAGGAAAGGAAAAATAAAGAAGTAAAAAAAGTGTAGAGAAGAGTAGAAGTAGTATCAGAAGAAGAAGGAAGACGAAGAAGAAATGGAGGGAGAAATGAGACGCTACTATTGGAGAGGGACCGGGGGGAGGACTATTATGATTATTACTAGCAGTCTAGCACGAGCAGGACAAGACACCAGAGGAGAGTAGAGCCAGGAGATAAATAAATAATGACTCCTAATAATAATAATGAAAATGTCAAGCCAAGTCCACTCTCGCAAGAACAGACAGTTTCCGACTGTGTGGGAACTGGGAAAACGGCGATAGACTGATGGTACTGACTCCAAAGTAATAGTGAAACCCCCTGAGAGCAATGGTGCGGTGCTACGGACAATGGTCTTATTTAAACTTTGAACAGTCCGGACGGATGGGGGCTTAATCTTGGGGGGTTCTTCTGGTGAGAGCGACGGTATCAGAAAGATTGGACATTTGAGGCTCCTTGAAACAGATTGAGAATGAGTATCATCTTAAATCTACATACATCCATCTACGACTTGATGCTTTGTCGATGTATGGAATCTCCATGTTGAAGTATCTCACGTGGACCCCTCATCAGCGAGCTGGAATGTAAGAATGTATCAGACTGGCCCAAACTTACCTTACAATACGCTGCGAGTACCTAAGGTACCTTAGGTAGCAGAGGTACAGCATCCAGTCACGTGATTCGACGCATCTCAGCCGGTGGTGCTAGGTCCTCTGCATTTCGTCCAAGCCACATGTTTGATAGGCTAAGATTGATGGGAAGTACGGAGTAGAGTACCTAGATTCGAAGTTCGAATACAATGTAATTTGTATCTACTTAGACAGAAGCTGATATCTCCTCCGCTCGACCAGGTTGCTCTCCGGTCCACAAGCAGTTCAGGAGCAAGTCAAGCAGGAGCAATTCGAGGAAAACCGGGACAGACTTAGCAAAGAAACCAATTATTCCCCAATAGACGGAAAATTCACATCATCCAAAATGAGCATCCTCAACATCTGATATATGACTCCGTCTGGATTGTGCCTTTGCATTGTCTACTGGGTCACGTGATCCCGGTCGCTTATCCCAAAGTGGGATCGCAGTTGGACCTGTTTTTTTCGTGTTTCTCCCACAACGACGCATCGCCGCTGCCCTCACTTTCTTTCTGGCTGACCGTCGCGTGGCAGCATCATCAAGAAAAGGGCCTTTTTTACACTGTCGAACAGTGCTGCCCGCCCGTCGTTGTGCGATTTGCCTTTTTTTCGCCTCGAGATTTCTCCAGCCTCGATCCGAGAAGCCTCTGCGTGTCAAACGATTTTCACCGGTATCATCTTTAAAACCCACAGGGTCCATCGCCCACCATGCCGCCTCCACCCCATATCAAGCCGGAAAATGTCCTGAAAGTGAGTGGTGACCATGGAAAATATCATCGGTAGGATTCTACAACTCAGAGACTGGTAACTGACCTTGTGTTCTCTCACTGCAGCGGGCTCAGGAACTTATCGCCGTGGGCCAGACTCCCGCCGCCCTCAATGTCCTCCACGAACATGTCACCTCTAAGAGGACGCGCAGCAGTCCGATCGCCTCTCTCGAACCTGTCATGCTCCTTTTCGTTGAATTGTGTGTCGATCTTCGCAAAGGAAAGGCTGCCAAGGATGGTCTCTACCAGTACAAGAACATCGCCCAGAACACCAACGTGGGAACCATCGAGGTAGGCACAGAACCTTTGATTTGTGATATGATTTGCAGGGGCTGATATATGTGCTGCGAATAGGTCGTCCTCAAGAAGTTCATCGAACTCGCCGAGAAGAAGGTGACCGAGGCCCAGGCCAAGGCCGACGAGATCCAATCCTCTCTGGAGTCCGCTGCCCCATCGTCCAACGTCGAGGATCTGGAAGCGATCGAGACCCCCGAGACCATCTTGCTTGCTACTGTTTCTGGCGAACAATCCCGCGACCGGACCGACCGCGCTGTCGTCACTCCGTGGCTCAAGTTTCTCTGGGAGACCTACCGTACCGTCCTGGAGATCTTGAAGAACAATGCTCGCCTTGAGGTCATGTATCAGACCACCGCCCTGCAGGCCTTCCAGTTTTGCCTCAAGTACACCCGCAAGACCGAGTTCCGCCGTCTTTGCGAGCTACTCCGTAACCACGTCCAGAACGCCGCCAAGTACTCCGCTCAGATGCACGCTATCAACCTCAGCGATCCCGACACCCTGCAGCGCCATCTGGATACCCGCTTCCAGCAGCTGAATGTTGCTGTTGAGCTGGAGCTGTGGCAGGAGGCTTTCCGCAGCATTGAAGACATTCACACTCTTCTCAGCCTTAGCAAGCGCCCCGCCAAGAACGTCATGATGGCCAATTACTACGAAAAGCTTGCGCGGATCTTCCTCGTCAGCGAGAACTATCTTTTCCATGCCGCCGCTTGGAACCGCTACTACAACCTTCTCCGTCAGTCCGCCGCTGCTCTCGCCGCAGGCCAGGGCACCAAGAAGGAGAACCCCTCGGTAACCGAGGCTGATATGACCAAGGCCGCTTCCTTTGTCCTTCTGTCTGCTCTGTCGATCCCCGTCATCAGCACCTCCCGCTCTCGAGGCGCCTTGGTCGATGTCGATGAGGCCCGCAAGAACAAGAACACCCGTCTGACCAATCTGCTCGGTATGGCTCAGCCACCCAGCCGTGCGGTGCTTTTCCGGGATGCTCTGAACAAGGGCCTGCTCAAGCGTGCTCGTCCTGAGATTCGGGATCTCTACAACATCCTCGAGGTTGACTTCCACCCTCTCTCCATCTGCAAGAAGATCACCCCCATCCTCAAGCAGATCGGTGCCGACCCCGAGATGGAGAAGTACGTCCTGCCCCTGCAGCAGGTCATCCTCACCCGTCTCTTCCAGCAGCTGTCCCAGGTTTACGAGTCCGTCGAACTCAAGTTTGTCTACGAGCTTGCACAGTTCCCTGATCCCTTCCAGATCACCCCGGCCATGATCGAGAAGTTCATCATGAACGGATGCAAGAAGGGCGACCTCGCTATCCGCGTCGACCATACCTCGGGTGTTCTGACCTTCGACACCGATATCTTCTCCTCCGCCAAGGCTCTGCATTCCGGCAGCGCCGCCGGTTCTGCTGAGAGCGAGGTCGGCTCGGTGCAGCGTCTTCAGAACACCCCTGCTGAAATCGCCCGCCTTCAGCTCACCCGTCTCGCCAAGACCCTTCACGTCACATGCATGTACGTGGATCCTTCTTATAACGAGGCCCGTATCCAGGCCAAGAAGGCCGCTCAGGCCCGCGCTGAGGCTGGTGCTGCCAAGGAGCACGAGGAGACCCTTGCCCGCCGTGTCCTCATCGAGAAGAAGAAGGAAGCCGCCACCGATGCTTTGCAGCGCAAGCAAAGAGAGGAGGAGACCCGCAAGCGTATTCGTACTCAGCAGCTGCAAGAGGCTGAGAAGCAGAGACTGCTTGACGAGCAGCGGGAACGCGAAAAGAAGCGTCTGAAGGATGAACAGGACCGTATCCGCCAGCAGGAGCTCAAGAAGCAGCTGGAGGAGCTCAAGAGCGGTGTCAAGGGCATCGATATCAGCGAGATCGACCTTGAGGACATGGATGCCAACCGGCTGCGCGCCATCAAGCTTGCCCAGCTCGAGAAGGAAAAGAACGAGCTCAATGAGCGCATCCGTACCACTTCCAAGCGTATCGATCACTTGGAGCGTGCCTTCCGTCGCGAGGAGTTGAAGCACATTTCCGAGGATTATGAAGCCCAGAAGAAGCGTGACATGGAGCTTTACGAGGCCATCAAGGCCGAGACTCTCAAGGAAGCTGAGGAGAAGCACAAGGAGGCGGTTGCCCTCAAGCACCGTCTCAGCCGCCTTGTTCCCGTCTTCAGCAACTTCCGCAAGGAGGTGTCTGAGAAGCGTCACGAGGAGTTTGAGAAGCGCCGCAAGGCCGCCGAGCGAGAGTTCGAGGCTAAGAAGAAGCAGCGTGTCAAGGAAGTTCAGGAGCGCCGTCGTCGCGAGAGGGCCGAGCGTGAGGCGGAAGAGCGCCGCAAAAAGGAGGAAGAAGAGCGGGCCAAACGCGAAGAGGAAGAGCGTATCGCCAAGGAAGAGGAGCGTAGACGCGTCTTGGCTGAAGAGAAAGCCAAGCGTGAGGAAGAGAGAAAGTCAGTTTCGCCCCAGTTCTATAAATTTTATTATAATGGTACTAACTTACGATACAGGAGACTTGACGAGATTGCTCTACGGCAGAAGCAGCGTGAGGAGGAAGCTGAGGCTCGCCGTGCTGCCAGAAAGACTGGCCTCCCAGAACCTCCCACCCGTGCTGCTGAGCCCGAGCGGCCCGCGGAGCGGACAGCTCCTCGCCTTAACCTCGCATCTCGTACTGGCGGTGTTCCCAGCTGGAGAGAGCGCCAGGCTGCCAAGGAGGCTACCGGCGCTGCCCCTGCCGCTGCCCCTGCCGCTGCTGCTGCCCCTGCCCCTGCCCCTGCCGCCGCGCCTGCTCCTGCCGCCGAGGCACCTAAGGAAGAGGTCCAGCTCCCCCGCAGAACCGGCGGATACGTGCCCCCTCACCTCCGCTCTGGAGCCAGCGCCGCCCCCGCTGCTCCTCCTTCAAACGGTCCTGCCCCCGAGAAATACGTTCCCCGTCACATGCGCGAATCCAGCTCCTCCCAACCTCCCTCGCGCACACAGACTCCCCCCGCCGCCGCCGCCAGCTCCGACAAGCCTGAGGGTTCCCCCGCTCCTCAGAAGTGGGTTCCCCGGTGGAAGCAACAGCAGCAGTAGAGCTAGCGCGATCAAGCAAGCCCTTGTCTGTTGAATCTTGAAAATAAAATCTGAACGCAAAAAAGTTTCCGTCTGCTGAAACGTGTACGGGGGGTACTTCGTGTCCCTTTGGGGAACTCATGCCCCTCATTTGCATTCTCTTCCTCTCTCTCTCTCTCTCTCTCTCTTTTAATTCTAACGGTGTCTCTGCTACCTTATCTGGTTGTTCTTGTCATGTTTCATGAATCTAGAGAGTGGGGACTTCTCTCCCCTTTCTTCTCTGGGTAGCCATCATGTCTGTTGTTGACTGCATTATGTCCCATAAATGAAGTCCAGGTTTTCCCGTCTATATCTTACGTCAGACGACTTTTGTTGGATGAATAATGCAGGAAGAATATGATTTTCACTACTTTATTTCTCTTCTATGTGGTCCTGCTGTAGCTCGTGTTCGTTCGTAATCAGTCTTTATATCGTATTTCCCCTGGCGGACCAGGTTTTTGCGTGAGGAAAACGTCATGGAACCAACTACGAATCAACCTACGCATCGAGGAAGGACTTGAAAGCAAATCACGGAGGAGATATTAGAACCAAGCATAGATGACGTTTCCGCGAACAGAAGAAATCTATATATTCTTGAAGAGAAAGTAGAAAGGGGGTATGTTGCAAGCTACGAAGAAGCCCATAGATAAGGACATATGGACAGGATTTGAATCGATGTATGGTGTCAAAGATACAAGACCAAGGAAGAAACCGGCTCAAGCAGCGGCCATTTCCGTCCCAGGAGCAGCAACAACAGCCGCACCAAAGAGCCTTTCCCTCCATTCGCCACACACGGCCTCGAACCCACTGACGACGTCCCGACAGACGCGGCCAGCTTCGCGGTCTCGCAGCCGGCGGTCCCAGTCCCCCTTTTCGATCCACCGGGTAGCTTCTTCGCGGCCTTCCTCCTCGCGGCGCAGCTCGGCGACGAGTTCCCGTGCGGACCGCAGTCGTCGCGAGGCGGTTGCAGTTAGCTGTCGCGATTCGTAGAGCGTGTCGCTTAGCCCTCGGAGGGACAGCGTTAGGTCCGTTGTTTGCGCGATAAGAGTCTGGAGGCAGACGAGTGGGTTCAACGAGGGCGATTGAGAAGGGGTGGTTGGCCTGGAGGAGTGGCGTGGCTGGCCGGGGAACGGGTAGGGCAGGTTAGGCAGAAGGCCTTCGTCGATGAGCGGGATTAGCTCGTCAATGGCGTCCGGAGAGAGGAGCGGGTAGGGGGAGAAGAGGAGGGGGTGGGTGAGGGTCTGGAGCGTTCTGGTCTGGTGTGTTAAGTGCGAGGTGATGGAGGTGTGTGCTGTTATTAGTCTGCGGAGGTCAGCAGATCTTTGGGAGTTCGTCAACTCAGAGGCCAAACATACCTCATGGCGTTATTCTCGATCCCGCTCTGACTCCCTAGGTCCCGGAGCGTCTCAACAACACGTCTGATGACATGATCGTTCTCACTGCCGTTGTTCTCGATTCCTCGCCGGACTAAGCTTTCGATCTCAGCCATCTGCCCCTCCAGACTAGGCGATATGTCTGTCGCTTCCTCGAAATCCGACTCGTTGCCGTAGTCAGAGCCATCGTATTGCGATTCATGTCGCCGGTGATTTCGTTGACTGCCGTTGCGAGCTTTGACCCGAGGCGGTTGCAGCGAGGTATGGTCCGGCGCGTAATCTGACAAGGGCGATCGCGGTCCCATATTGTAATCGTCCTCCCCGTCACTCCGGGTTGTGCCTTGTAGGTCCCCCGATGCATTGTCCTGGCCAGAGACATAGCCATAACCCCCTTCCTCTTCTTCGTCCCACGCGTCCGCGAGTTCGTCTGCAAGGTTTCCCAGCCCCCCTGCGGCGTCTGCAGGGCCTTCGAAGTCACCTGATAGCCTGTACGACCCGTTCATGACTTGCGCATTCCGCTGGCGGGGTTCCACCGGCGAAGGGGGCGCTGAGGACCGAGGGGTCCGAGGCGAATGTATAGGACTCTGAGAGAAACCATTGGGAGCGTAGGTTCCGGGGGAGATGGGGTCGAAATCGAGGTTGGAGGAATGGCTGTGACTATGGCGGTGAGACAGCCTCAGGGGGGATGGTGGGATGGCCGGCATGATGCAGGTCAGTTGAAGGGAGGTCGAGGATCCCACGTGGGATTGTGACAAGGAATGTAGACAGCAGTCAACTGAGAATAGTCCTTAGGATTCTTGACGTCCTGGCAGATCAACTGTGTCGTTTTATTTCTCAGGACTGAGGGGTCTGTATCGTCAAATGTCGATCGCGGAATGAGCTGGACGCGGGCAGGGGCCACACTGAGGAGAGGAAATAACAAGACAGGGGGTTCTCAATAATCATAGCATCACCAGGATGCTGGAAGAGTAGAAGGAAAGACAAGACAATGGATGAATCTCATGGCACAAAGGAAGAATTTCTCAATACGAATAATAATAAAGAACGATGATGCAAGAAACAACGAACTGCTCTCAGCAGAACAATAAACAGCCGCTCCTCCCGTGACCGCCGAAGCCCCAATCAGATCATTTGATTTACATCAGCTTCATTATTTCATTTCACCCCACACCACGAAGAGCTTCACTTCTGACCTTACCCACGGCCATTGACAGCTGTTCCTTATTAATAGCAAAAATGAGTTCCATCCGGCGCGTGTCCCCAACGGACCTCCTCTCCCTCAACCTCACCAACCTCGACCCGCTGACCGAAAACTACGACCTGGGCTTCTACCTCAACTACCTCATGCGATGGCCCTCGCTCTTCAGCGCCGTCAAAGATCGCACAGAAGGCATAGTCGGATACAGTACGTGCAAACCTCATCGCAGCCACATCCACTAGACGTGAGGGCTAATGAAATCAAAAACAGTCATGGGCAAACTCGAAGAACAACACCCTTCAATGCGCCACTCGGAACACTACACCCCCTGGCACGGACACATTACCGTGCTGACGGTCGCCCCAGCCTGGCGACGTCTAGGCCACGCGCGCCGCCTGACAGAGCGTCTCGAGCACGGCTCCGACATCAACGATGCCTGGTTTGTGGACCTTTACGTGCGCGCGGGGAATAAGGTCGCTGTGGGGATGTACAAGGGGATGGGGTACTCTGTTTTCCGGCGGGTGGTCAATTACTACAGCGATGACCCGACAGGGATGTCGGATTCGGGCGAGGATGCGTTCGATATGCGCAAACCGTGCAGTCGGGATAAGAATTTGCAGCATATACGCGAGAACGGGGAGGAATTTTTGGTGAATCCGGAGGATGTTTCATAGGATGTAGCGTTTTGTTTTCAGTTTGAGCGGGCTGTGGCGCTTGATGCAGTCGATTTAGCTTCCTGGCGTTGGGGAGTTATACTATGGTTTTCTGCGGCAATATGGATTCGAAAAGCATGGGAGCATGGGATGATAATAGACAAAATCACTTTTATTTCCCCTCAAGGAGAATGCTAGACCCTATCATGCATGGTGTATATATGAAACAATGCGAAGAACCCATTCAATATGAACAACTGTTCACAATGCAAACCCGAAAGCAAAGCCGCGTTTTCGCTCTATAATGCAATACTGATCTATGACCCCGACACCGACGATGCATATGGGATACACCGATTATTATGATATGTGTTTTTAAAAAGCCATAAACGCTTCGCATAAGTCGTGCAACGTTGATGACATTAGTGGCTATCATGCTCTGACAAGCAGCCGCGGCCCGGTGCGTGAGAATCGCAGGGCCCCAAAAATGGCGGCTGCCGTGACGATGCAGCAAGCGGTGAAGAGTTGAACCCCGAGATAATTATGGGTATCACTCATGATGGCTCCACCAATTGGTGTTCCAATCAGCAAACCAATCGAGGTCGTGGCGAAGATCATGCCCAGACGAGTACCCAGGTCGCGGATATCTTTCGTCAACGTGACCATGACAACGGGTGGGAGTGAGACAAACCCACCGGAGCAAAGACCGTACAGGACAGAGAGAACAATGATGCCGGGCACATTGTGCACGCCAATCCAGGCAAAGGCCAGAACTGCCGTAGCTGTGACAGCTGGCGTCAGCATGTTCAGTGGGCCGGTGTGATCAGCGACGAAGTTGGGAAAGATTCGTCCCACGGTAGAACCCGCATTAAGCATGGAGAGCAGATAGAACCCCAGGTTTGCATCGACGATTCCGGTGTCGATGGCATAGGACTGCACGTAGAACAGGAAGTTATAGAAGCCTAGGAAGCCCAGAAACATGGCAACGGCGAACATCACGAACGCTGGTTCTTTAAATGCGGACAACTGGACCAACTTGCGTTTCTCGGTAGGCAGGAATCGCATGCGCATGAGAGACAGGGAGATGCAGCAGGTTCCGAAAGCTACAAAACCCAGTGCGCGAGTCGCCCACGCAAATCCAACTTGGTCCTGCAGCTTATTGAACATTATCGGATAGACCACACCCCCAATACTGCTGCCTGAAGCCGCCAGTCCGTTGGCTAACCCTCGCTTCCGCTTGAAGTATTGGGGCAGAATAGCAACCGAGGGAACGAACAGGCATCCAGCAGCCAGGCCGATACAGACTCCTTGACAGAGGATCAAGTGCCAATACTGTGAAGAAATACTGGTCATCATCAAGCCAAACGGGAGCACAACGGTGCCAAATATGACAAGAGCTCGAAAGTATCCTGCATCAAACAAAGGGCCGGTCACTACTCCAAAGAGCATCAGAAGAAACGATTGCAAAGATCCAATCCAAGCAATGGATGATGACGAAACATTAGACAGAAGATTTTGTTCGTAGTATGTCTGGAAAGCGCCCCATGTATTGATCACACCCCTAGGACAAACCTAGCGATTAGCCATGCGAAAGAGCAGCCTCAAACGAACGTCATGCATTCACAAAAGTACCTACCATGAGTTGAAGAATAGGAAGAATGACCCAACGACCTGCAACCATGCCACGGCCCCGGTATCGAAGGTTGGCTCTTCTAGATGTTTCTCTCCTGCCTGCTGTTCTGATGTGCGCACGTTGCGCTCATCATTGTTGCTGTTCACCGAAGGCGCAACGGCCTTCTCCTCCGCATGTGCCCTCATCCCAATTTTGTGTCCTTCAAGATGGCAATATCGTATAAATCGGACTCGGCGCGCGGAAAGCCACGGCCGATTCTACGTGTAGCGGAAATGTGATGGCGAACTAGGCAAGAAGGGTCCGCAAGAAATACAAGTTGAAAGTCGACGATGAGATGATTCAAGTGGACGAAAAGAATCCAAATCAGGAATCGCCCAACAGCTGCCAATGCTATCAACATGCGACACGTAAAAAAAAAAAGCAGATGCGCAAAATCAAATTTATATGCGATAAGATTTCTCAGCAACTCTTAAGACTCAGCGGGGCAACTAAAAAAGCCTAAGCTTGCCAGCCAGAGGCACGATAGGATAAACCACTGGGACTGCGGCTATCAAAGGAGAGATCCACTGTGAGCCGGTCCATAAGTCGTATTCCTAGGGAGACCAGAGGCATGAGTCAGTCTTCAAGGTTCCAAACTGCGGGCATACGTGACCGGTCTTTTGGGTGTCGAATGGGATCGAGCCCGTTGACCCTACAGCTCCAGGATCTGATACGTGCATTAAGTTGCTTGCGGCATTGACTACCGCTAGAAGCCTGAAAGATTCATCCGTGTTCTTGGGGTAACTCCGAAGGTCTTCTCCATTCGAGTAATGATGGATAACCGAGGGACAAGGGCCCACTCAACTACCAAAGTCGGTAGCGAACTCAGGCCTTAAAGACAAGTCAGCAATATAATCATACGCTTTTTTTCTGCAGAAGGTCCGCTGTAACTGTGATTGATAATCAGATGTGGTAGCAATTAGGACGAGCCGGGGAACTAAGGCGCCCTAGGGCGCGCCAAATACATGGACAACGTGACGTGCCGACTTATCCAGCGGGGAAGGATCATGCTTCACGATGATGCTTGCGGCTTGATTTCTCTTTAATAATAGAAACGAGGCATATCAGATTGTGCCCTAACAGTAGCTTTGGATGCTGCTGGACATAAAAATAAAGTTCCCCTGGTCATGTTGAGATTCTGAATTGACGAGGAACTGAAGTTAGTCCAGACTCGACTGAAACCAACTGAAAAGAAAAGAACACAGGAATGAAAGGATTCGAGAGGATAAGACTTGACTTGCAAGGGAAATGTGGATCGCCAACTCGGGGGGTTTGCGGCACACTCCGAAAGACCGAAATCCACGTTTTCCCGCATTTCGATCTCCGAGACTCCGTGTGCCAGATCCAAGCCAGCTCATTCGGGAACATGAACCAGACTTTAGTTTCGCAATTGTAGTTATCGAGAGATGATAGAGATGATTCAAGATTGTATATCTCTGCGACCGGAGATCGTAACAGTATCTGCGCGGATCAAGAACATGGCGACGTACTGTATGGAGTACTGTGTAGAAACGGTCTGTTGACTGACTAGTTTCTATCACGTGATACCAACTCTCACGCTAAGCTCCTTTTGGAGGAAGACAGCAAGACATGTTCAAGAGTACAGACAACCGACGGGCTACTCCAGATAGTATCATTGTAAAGTTCATCAAGCTCAGAATCATTGAGGTCAGGTGAAGATACAGACTTGCCCTTTACTCATTTCGTCGCAACGGTTGCTCCAGCATGCAAAGGGAGAGGCGAAGTGGAGGTTCCGTACACTTCAGGGGGAAGTCTCCTGTACTCTTCCCCTTTCCCAGGCTTCGTTCGATCTTTCAGTATGTTTGCTGATATGGTAGAATAGGAAGCTATGCTCGAGTGTCATGCGTCGGTTTCCAGACAGTGCCCATACATTACATTTTGTTGGAAAGGGTAGAGACTTATTGAGAACTCCAAATGTATGTAGTAGCGGCTAAACACCCAGGGCCAACGGAATGAACGTAACATATTTTCTCATATTCTATCCATCAAAGGTAAAGTATACTTATTTTCTGTTCTTTGCGGAATTCCAAATCCCGGCGACCGGATCATTAGCAATGCAATGAACGGTTCGCTTCCTGCTCCCAAACTCCGAACGCTATGCGCGACGTCAAATCAGAAGACCATGATTAGAATGACAAGTAGAAACAAATAGCTCAGTCT